CAGTCACTTGGAAAGTGTTTGTAATCTGCTTAGGGCGGAGGGAGGTGGTGCGGGACGCTAGGAGTACGTACGACTTCGTGTGCTGGTGAGTTTACGTAGGCCTCGTGGATGAACTTGTGCGTTTCGACAGCTTCCATGGTGTTTCGCATTGATGGGGCCCGTGTTTTGTTGTCATGTGAGGCCTCCCTCCTTTGCAGCTTCACCCTTGCAGGCCTTGTATGGTGCTTCTTTGGTGCGAATTTTGAGAATTCTTAGAAGTCGCACCAATATCCCTTTCAGGCCTAGTATGGTGCTTCTGCCACTCGATCTCTGACAAGGCAGAATGAATTTGAGCACTGCCTTCCCATATGCAACGCCAGCATCACATATCCTCCACTCCCCTCTTCTCACCCAGTGGTATACCCCTCTTCTTTTCATCCCCCCCCCAGCCCTCCCCAGCACACCAACAGCATCTGCCTTGTATGAAGGAGCCCAGCTCGTGGCTGCAACACAAAGCCTGGCGACAATCAGGCGGCTGGAGAGCTGCAGCAGCATCAGTGGTGGCGGTGAAGGCGGTCAGCGGGGAGTGGGTGGAGACAGGCTAGGAGGGAGCCCAACTCATCGCTGTGACATACAGCCGGGCGGCATGGCAGGGTTGTGGGATGCAACAATGTTGCAGCGGCAGTGGTGGTGGTGAGTTCTATCAGCCATGGGTGGGGTGGAGGCAGGTGAGAAGGGAGCCCAACTCATTTCCTCCATGACACACAGCCGGGCGGCATGGCAGGGTTGTGGGATGCAGCAGCAGTGGTAGTGGTGAAGTCAGTTAGCGGGTGGCGGGTGGAGGAAGAGGGAGATGAGCACAGCTCATCGCTGGAACACACAATGGGGCAGGACGGATCCCAACTCATATCCATAACACACAGCAGGGCAACAGGAGTCATGGAAAGCAGCAGCAGTGGTGGCGGTGCAGTGAAATCGGTCACCTGCCTGCATGTACTCGCGTGAGCAGCCCAGCCCACCTCTGTGACACACCAGCCAGGCAGCATGGCAGGGCCATGGGATGCAGCAGCAGTGGTGGCGGTGAAGCTGGTGAGTCATGAGTATGGTGGAGGCGGGGAGGAGGGAAGGTAGGGAGGCTGACCCATGGGAGGGAGGGAGGGCAGTATGAGCAGCAGGGGCCATGGATATGAGGTAGTGGATGGCTTTTCAGTTGATGACAGGCAGGGCGACGTGCACAATGAGGCGTGGAGTTGGGGAGAGAAAAGCGAGGTAGCAAAAGCTAGCTGCACTTCGGTGGGTGCAATAGTTTCATGTTACTCACACGGGCTTTTAGGCTCGCAGGTACAAGCACATGGCGTGACTGAAGGTGCGTGTAAGTATTGGAGAGAAGGTGCAACTGCAGCTCAACGTAGTGGAGAGAGTGACATTGGACTAATACATTGGCTCGAGATAGCAACGTCCGAAGAATCGCAAAACGATGTACCGGTACGTGTGCACTTGGTTTTCAGAATACTGAATTGGTACATGCTGTTTCACCAGCATATATTGGTACATGCTGGCGACAGGTCTTGAGGTCATCCATGTTCCGTGCAGCACCATTTCTATCGCTCCCTCAGGCATCAACTCTCTCTCCATCCCGTATCACCTACACCACAACCGCCTGATAAACAATCACCCACTTTCCCCCTCCACACCCCACACCCCCTCCTGTGCTGTGTAGTTTTACATATCCCCTTTATCACTTAACTATCCCCTCCCCCTCCAGAAAACCTCAACCCCCTCCATACACTGGTTTTTGAGAATTCTCAAAAACCAGAAAACCTCAACCCCCTCCATACACTTCTCCCCCTCCATACACTTCTCCCCCTCCTAGAAGGTTGGTTGTTGGTGGCAGCAGAGGCGATGTATGCACTCCAACCGCCTTTTAAGAATCTTTACGCGTACCCCTCTTCGATCCCACCTTCTCTTCCCCTGCCGTCGCCCTATTCGCCCCCAGCTGCATCTGTCAGGCGCCTTGCCATGATGTAATATGTAACAAAACCAACAAAGGATGAGACCAAGCATGGAGGGAGGTGAGGCTGGTGGCGACAGGAGTGGCTGGAGTGGGATAATTAGCACGCCAACCTGAAAGTTCTACAGCTTATGGGGGGGGGGGGGGGGATGCTTTGCATGTCAACATGAGCTGCCATGTCAGTATTTTAGTTGGAGTGTTGGGGCAGCAGTGCAAGCACACCTCAACCCATGCCGTATTGCTAGGACAGATCCAATCGCTTATCACTACCCTACCATTCTCTCATGCCTGCCCTTCCCCATGCCTGTCCTTCACCCATCCCTGCCCTTCACCCATGCCTGCCTTTCAGTCAGTTCCAGCATACCCACTCGAGCTCCGAGGGACGCGATGAGGGTACTACACAACAGTAGAAGTCGAGTCAGGAGCAGAAACAAGCAGGGTGGGGGTTGTATTAAGTGGGTAGAATGGTGGGGGTGCAGTGAGGGGATGCAGCTGCAATAGCCTTGGTCTGATCTTTCTGTGCTGAATACATGGCTGCAATGTGGTGAGTGTTGGTGACACTCAACGACCTCAGAGGAAAGGAGAGGAGAGCGACCAGCCTGCACCTCTGCAGCGCACGCTGAGACAATGTCCTTTGAAAAAACATATACGTCACATGCCAGTCTTCATTGCCGGCATGCCTCAGAGGAAAGGAGAGGAGGGCGACCAGCCTGCTCCTCTGAGCCAGCAGTTTGCACTGCACACTGAGGAGCAGAATGAAACTTACCGGTAGTTGATCTCTTGATCTCCTACCGTTTGTTCATCCTGTATGCCGGTGTATTTGCTACCGTATATGGCGTTGGTTGGGTGACGCAGCAGCACAAGCGACCTCACGGCTTTCTCATGCAGGAAAGGACAGTTGTGTGCTACTCCTCTGCCCTTTGTCCCATGCATGAAGCACTTCCAGGCTGCCACTCAGCCTAACCAACCATATGCCCTCTATGAAGCTGCAGCACACTTGTGCATGCCTGCTTCATTGCAAGCTTCTACAACAGCCACTACAACGAATCAAACACTCCTTTTTTCATTTCAGTATAGGTGGATGGTGAAAGTTCTGTTCTTACAACATTCAGAGTTGACGGCACACAAAAAAAAGGATCAAGGACTTGCTTGCAGAATCGTTCTCCTACTCTAAAATGTATAATTTTGCTGGTTTGCCAGAACAAAAATACAGATGAAGGCTACAGTTGTGAACACCACTCCTCAAGCCTCTCCTTAACTTTTGCCTCCACCATCACTCCCTACATCCATACCCACCTATCTGCCTGTGCACATCCTCATGAAAATCCCTATGTGGGAGCCGGAGAGACGTCAGCTCCCCTCATGAAACCGGTCTCTTGCCCAACCAGCCCTGCACCTGCTTCTGCCCTGCCCAACCAACTGCAAGGTACAAGGTCTACACGACCATTCTTCGACCCCATGCAACATGCAAGATCAGCTGCGCACAACCACCATGCCATGCCCCATTCCTCCACATGCATAGCCTTTCATTTCACACTCCTGGATAGCCATCGTCAACTCTCTCCATCCTTCGCGCCCCTGATCTCAACCCTCTCCCACCGCTGCTGCTGACCCCACTGCTGCCACCACTGCTGCTGCTGCCACCACTGCTGCTGCTGCCACCACTGCTGCTGCTGCCACCACTGTTGCTGCTGCCACCACTGCTGCTGCTGCCACCACTGTTGCTGCTGCCACCACTGCTGCTGCTGCCACCACTGCTGCTGCTGCCACCACTGTTGCTGCTGCCACTGCTGCCGCTACTGCTGCTGCGTCCACCATGCTCACGTCCCTCGCTGCTCTCTTGCTCGCCCTTGTCCCCAGGTTTCCCCCCTCCCCTCCCCTTCCCCTCCTGCTCTGCCTCGCCTTCCCCCTCCCCTTCGCCTTACCCGTCCGCCCTGCTGATGACCGCTTCTTGCTCCATCGTAAGAAATGCCAGGCAGGAATTTCTGATGCAGCTCCCAATATGCACTAGCTCTCTCGTCCAAAAAGCCGTGCACCTGCCTCTGTCGAACTGCAAGGCACCAGGTCCACATGAACATGCCACAACTCTCTGCAGCATGCAAGTTGAGCCGAGCACCACCACCGTTCCATGCCTCCCCTTATTCCTCACAATTGACTCTGCCATCAAGTGTCTCCCTCCCCTCCATCACTCTCGGCCCCCTTACCTACCTATCCAGCTGCGCACTTTGCCAGCATTAGACCCACTTGGCAGCTGGAGGGTTCTCAGCTTGGCCAAGGCACTCAGCTGCAGCAGCCCATCATCCGTGACTGCCGTGCCACCCAGAAATAGTTCCTTCAGCCCTGTTAGCCTCCCCACATGCACCATGCCAGCATCCGTCACACCCTTGCAGCGGGTCGGGCACGGGAGGAGGAGGAAGGAGGTCTTGCGCTGCTGCCGCCGATGCTGCCGCTGCTGCCGATGCTGCCAACGCTGCCGACGCTGCCGCTGCTGCTGATCCCACTGATAGCACTATCATTCAAACCGCTGCTGTCTGTTGCTGCTGGAACAGTCGAAGGGTTGCTGCTGCTGCTGCTGCTACGCCTGATAGGCTGAGAGAATAGGGAGGGGTTTTCCTTATCTGCGGAAAAAAGGTGGGAAGACAAGTGGGGTGAAACAAAGCCATGAGATTGCGTAACACTCTCTACCGTTGCTGCTGCCGTGCTTCAAAGATTTGGAGAACAGGAAAGTATATTTTTAACTGGTGTGGTGAATGAGGGAACAATACCACATGCCATGCACCCAGTACGTACGTGCCACAAGTAACAATACAGCACCTTACACGATACAGCACCTTACACGATACAGTATCTTAGACGATACAGTATCTTACACGATACAGTATCTTACACGATAAAGTATATTACACGATACAGCACCTTACACGATACAGCACCATACACAAGACAAACTGTGCCTTCATTAGAGTTACCTAAGGGTGTGTGCCATACCCCCAATGCTCGGTCCCATCGGTCAGCAGCAGCATGCACCTGAACACTACCTTACACGATACACCACCTTACACAATACAAACTGTGGCTTCTTAAGTTAAGAGTTACCTAATTGGATCGCCTGCCTGCAGGGTGTTTGCCACGTCCTCCATGCTCGGTCCCATCAGTCAGCATCCACCTCAACAGCCACCTCACGCGAAATTGAAGCCTTCCTTTTGCAGATAAAGAACCTATATTAATCGCCTAAAACACACCAACCTATATTAATCGCCTAAAACACACCAACCTATATTAATCGCCTAAAACACACCTAACTGGATCGCTCGCAGGGTGTGTGCCTGCCACGTCCGCCATGCTCGGCCGCATCAGCCAGGCCTTCTCAAGATGTACTTAAATGGATTGCCTAACACGCACCTAACTGGATCGCCTGCAGGGTGTATGTCACGTCCTCTGGTTGGCCGCATCAGTCAGCAGCAGCACCATCCACTTGAACAGTGTGTGTGCCTTACTTACGTGATACAATAACCGTGCCTTCTTAGAATGTATGTAGTACCTAATTGGATCGCCTGCAGGGTGTGTGCCACGTCCTCCATGCTCGGCCGCATCAGCGGGTCAAACTGGATGCACGACTCCGCCAGCTCAGCGCACCGAGCAAACGCTGACGTGGCAGCCACCCTGGGCAGGGCCACGTCAGCATCGGCACTGGCTCCGGCGCCGGTGCCACCTGTCACTCCTCCTTCGCCTCCTCCCCCTTCTGGCGTGTGACCGGCAAGCATGGAAGGATCTATCAGCTCATCCCACCTCTTGTCCTTCAAGAATGGTGTGGCCTGAAAGGTGTGTGGGAGAAGGATGGGGTGGGAAGTGGAGGGAGGTGGGGGAGGAGGTGCAAAGTCAACTAAGAGGAAAGGGAGTGTGAGCAACAGGCATGGAAGGATCGATCCGCTCATCCCACCTCTTGTCCTTCAGGAATGGCATGGCCTGAAAGGTGTGTGGGGAAAGGACGGGGAGCGTGGGGGAGGGAGGGGGAGGGAGGGTGGGGAGGAGGTGCAGAGTAAGTGAAGAGGAAGGGGAGTGCTGGCTGCAAGCATGGAAAGATCTATCAGCTCATCCCACCTCTTGTCTTTCAGGAATGGTGTGGCCTAAAAGGTGTGTGGGGAAAGGACGGGGAGGGTGGGGAAGGGAGGGGGAGGGAGGGTGGGGAGGATGTGCAGAGTAAGTGAAGAGGAAGGGGAGTGCTGGCTGCAAGCATGGAAAGATCTATCAGCTCATCCCACCTCTTGTCTTTTAGGAATGGTGTGGCCTGAAAGGTGTGTGGGGAAAGGACGGGGAGGGTGGGGGAGGGAGGGGAAGGGAGGGGGAACGAGTGGCCTGGCCTGTGAGTGCTGAAGTTCCCAAACTCAGGCAAAGCTGCCAATTCAGGCAAAGCTGCCAATTCAGGCAAAGCTGCCAATTCAGGCAAAGCTGCCAATTCAGGCAAAGCTGTCAATTCAGGCAAAGCTGCCAATTCAGGCAAAGCTGCCAACACACAACAGCATTCCCTCATTCAACCGATGCGCCAGCACCACACGAAAAAAGAACCACACCAAGGATCATCACCAGCAAGCAGGCCTCAACAAACCAGACTCAACCAGTGTGTGAGCAGCGTGCCATCCTGAAACACCGGCACTCTGCCTCTCAGAATCTTCAGCAGCAACCAGTGCTATCTTTATGCCATGTGCATGTGACCAGCAACAACCAACAAGAGGCACCCCTCACTCACCCAGTGTGTGAGCAGCGTGCCATCCCCAAACACCAGCTCTGTGCCTCTCAGAATCTTCAGCAGCAACCAGTGCTATCTTTATGCCATGTGCATGTGACCAGCAGCAACCAAAAAGAGGCACTCCTCACTCACCCAATGTGTCAGCAGCGTGCCATCCTGAAACACCGGCACTCTGCCTCTCAGAATCTTCAGCAGCAACCAGTGCTATCGTTCTGCCATGTGCATGTGACCAGCAACAACCAACAAGAAGCACTCCTCACTCACCCAATGTGTCAGCAGCGTGCCATCCTGAAACACCGGCACTTTGCCTCTCAGAATCTTCAGCAGCAACCAGTGCTATCGTTCTGCCATGTGCATGTGACCAGCAACAACCAACAAGAAGCACTCCTCACTCACCCAATGTGTCAGCAGCGTGCCATCCTGAAACACCGGCACTCTGCCTCTCAGAATCTTCAGCAGCAACCAGTGCTATCGTTCTGCCATGTGCATGTGACCAGCAACAACCAACAAGAAGCACTCCTCACTCACCCAGTGTGTGAGCAGCGTGCCATCCCCAAATACCGGCTCTGTGCCTCTCAGAATCTTCAGCAGCAACCAGCAACCAGCAGCAACAACCAACAAGAGGCACCCCTCACTCAACCAATGTGTGAGCAGCGTGCCATCCCCAAACACCGGCTCTCTGCCTCTCAGAATCTCCTGCAACACGACCACCATCCCTAATGCCATGTGACCGGCACCACCCAACGATATCGCCTTGACTCACAGCACGCAACCACAAGAAAAGAGCCACCCGTCACTCACCCAATGTGTGAGCAGCGTGCCGTCCTCACGTGACAAAAGTGTTGTTTTGAGACGTCTCGAACACCGGCTCTCTGCCTCTCAGAATCTTCAGCAACACCACCACCTGTTAGATTATACTACTCTTCTGTATCCTGCATTGATCCTATAAACCCTAGGATAGAGATAGGCACCCAAACAATGTTTGGGTGCACAACTAGGGTTAACCCTAGGTGGGGGTTGGAACCCAACCTTGGCCCAATTATTGGACCCCAAGGTTGGGTTGGAGGATTATTGGCCCCCCCAATAATGTTGGCCCACTTTGACCAACATTATTGGGACCCCCCAATAATTCTCCAACCCAACTTATTGGTGGGGGCCAATAATGTTGGCTAGGTACCAACCACCCCCCTTTCCTTAGCTCCAACTATGTAAGCCCTCATCATTCCTACTCAACTCATCGGTTCAATTCTCACATGTTATCAGAGCTCTTACGGCTAACGCCACTCAAGATCCTAGGACCATACTCTACCTCCCGCCGGCTCTGCCGTGCCCCTTGCGCCACTTAGCGCACCTCCCGCCGGCTCAGCCGTGCCCCTCGCGCCGCTCAGCGCACCTCCCGCAGGCTCTGCCGTGCCCCTTGCGCCACTTAGCGCACCTCCCGCCGGCTCAGCCGTGCCCCTCGCGCCGCTCAGCGCACCTCCCGCCGACTCTGCCGTGCCCCTCGCGCCATCTCGGCGCCCCTCTCCTCACCACGTCCGCCCGCCGCGACGAACGCGACCGTCAGCCGCGGACGCGACGAACGCGCCCGTCAGCCGCGGACGCGACGAACGCGACCGTCAGCCGCGGACGCGACGAACGCGACCGTCAGCCGCGGACGCGACGAACGCGACCGTCAGCCGCGGACGCGACAAACGCGCCCATCAGCCGGGGACGCGACGAACGCGGCCGTCAGCCGCGGACGCGACGAACGCGGCCGTCAGCCGCGGACGCGACGAACGCGGCCGTCAGCCGCGGACGCGACGAACGCGGCCGTCAGCCGCGGACGCGACGAACGCGGCCGTCAGCCGCGGACGCGACGAACGCGGCCGTCAGCCGCGGACGCCGCGGAGACGCCCACCAGCTGCGGATGCCGCGGATGCCGCGGAGACGCCCACCAGCCGCGACGGACCCTGAATTAGGGTTTGCTGCTACCGCCCGTGGAGCAGCCGGACCGCTCTGTCCCTCAAGACGGTGTCGTCCACCTCCCCTCCCTCCCTCCTCCTCCTCTCATGGCCGACGAATCAACCTCGCTTGAGCTTGCCTCCATCGACAAGCTCGAGCTCCTCAACGGCACCACCGCCGTCAATTGGGTGTCGTTTGAGGAGAGCCTCTTCACGTACCTGGGCTCCGTTCGAGTGGGAGATTACTGCCTCCTAGACGTTGTCCTCGAAACACCTAATGGCCTCCCCCCCACTCCGCCCCCACTCCCAGGCTCCTCCCCCCCCGACGCCCCACCACTCCCGACCGAACCTGCCCCCCAAGCCCCTATCCTAGGGGCTTGGGAGGATGATCCGGACAGGTGGGCTCGCACGCTCAACAAATACAACAAGGAGCGGGACGACTATGTCATCAAAAGCAGAGCACACGCAGCTGCCATCGCCGATCATGAAGCTGCCACTGCAAAACTTGCAGAATTCAAAGCCGCCTCCGAAGAGTACTCTGCTAAGCTCCGTAAGCACCACTCCGATACAGCTGCATGGCGCATTGCTGACCGCCGTGCACTTACTATCATCTTCTCATGCGTTCCCTCCTCTCTCAAGCGTGACCTTCGCCCCCCATCCTCCCCCTCCCTCTGGAAGTCTCTCTCCTCCCAGTATGATCGCCAGGACTTACGTTCCCTCCTCTCCCTCTTTCGCACCTTCCAAGACATCACACTGGACTCCTCCCTCAACGCTGCTTCCTTCGCTCGGCGCCTCACGGACACTGCACAACGTCTCAATGATCGTGGCATCTTGATCTCCGACACCCTCCTCACAACACGCATCCTTGACTGCCTCCCACCCACCTACGACACTTACCGCATCAATTTCACCTCCCAGCACATCCGTCCTCCTCCTGTGGCTGTTACCATCGACTGGCTCCTTGACAGTGAGGCTGACCTTCTGCGTGAATCTGCCTCCATCAATGCCGTTCATGCGCGCAAAGGAACAAACACCGGCGGAAGCAGCGGGGGCGGACCAGGACGTGGCTCGGGCGGTGGTGGAAGAGGAGGCGGTCGCGGAGGTGGACGAGGAGGGCGCACTGGGGAACGTGGCGGGCGTGGGGCAACCACTTCAACCACGGGTGGGCTCCCTCCGTGCCAGTATGTCATTCGCCAAGGCCCTAACAAAGGTCAGACCTGCAACCAGACCACCCATCCCACTGATACGTGCTTCAAAGCTCTCACCGACGAATGGCTTGCACGCGGCAACACGGGCCCTCCTCCACGCTGGAGCACCATCACCCCTCGCCCCACCCCTCATGACATTCGCACCCTCCCCGCCTATGCACCATCTCCCCCCAACCTCCATAATGTCCTCGCCCAACACCTCTCCCCTCACGTCCTCCAGCAAGTCCAACACCTCCTCCCCACACCCACCACCACCCCAACGCCTCCCACCCTCACCACACCCACCCTCGCACCTCAAACCCCTCCCTCCCCCTATCCTCCTCTCTCCCCTTATCCTCCTCCTTACGCTGGCTGGCCCTACCCTCCCTACCCCCCATCTCTGTATGGCCATGGGACAGCTGCAACTGCTGCAACTACTGCACCTGCTGAACTACCCACCTCCCCCTCTCACCCCCCCGGCTTCACACCGTTTCCTTCCACGGGTTTCATAGGTCATGTCACCACTGCTAGCTCTTGCAATGATCCTATGTATGCCAATGCTATTAATGAGTCCTCATTCCAGTACTCCGAGTCCCCCTCCTCCTCAAAGCCCCTTGAGTTCATCCTTGATAGCGGAGCCACGCACACGGTCCTTCGTGACGCAGGCACGCTCATCCCCCTCTCCACCCCCTCCACAATACTTGGGGCTGACTCCAGCTTTGCGATACAAAGCCGTTACACCTCCACACTCCCCTGTCCCCTCTTTCCCTCAGGTACTGTCACAGGTCTCTATATCCCCTCCCTTCGGAACAACTTGGTATCCCTTGGTGCCCTCTCCGACTCAGGTGTCACCGCCATATTCCCTGGTCACAAAGCATATTGCGACTTATTTCCCTTGGGTGGCGCCAGTGCCGGTGCTGATGTGGCCCTGCCCAGGATCAGCACCACCCACCCAGCGATATTGCCTTAACTCACAGCACGCAACCACAAGAAAAGAACCATCCGTCACTCACCCAATGCGTCAGCATCGTGCCGTCTTCAAACACGGGCACTCTGCCACTCAGTAGTTCCAGCAACACCACTCCGAAGCTGAGATAGGGGCGGGGGAGAAAGGGAGCGAGGGAGAGCGGGAGTGGGGACACGGCATTACGAAGGGTGTGGGGAGTGGGTGGTATTGAAGACGAGTCAACAGGCTGTCAGTGCCGGCAGCACCACTCCGAAACTGAGAGGGGAGCAGGGGAGAGAGGGAGCGACGGAGTGGGGGCATGCATGGCATTACAAAGGGGTGTGGTGGGGAGTGGAGGAGGGTGATGAAGGTGAGCGAACGGGGTGTAAGGGTCAGCAGAAACACCACTCCAAGCTGAGCTGAGAGAGGGGCGTGGGAGAGAGGGAGTGGGAATGGCATGTGTATGTGACCAGCAAGCAACAACCAACAAGAAGCTCCCCTCACTCACGCAATGTGTGCCCATTGCTTATGTGCTATTGACCAGCAACAACCAACAACAGCAACAACCACTGTGTGCCCATTGCCACATGCGCGTTCTTCCCCCGCATCTCCACCATCTCTCCTGGTTGTCCCCTTTAGAAGCACTCATTTGTGCCTACCTGTACACGTCCATAGCAGTGCTGATCTCCCCCGTCATTAGAATTTCAGGAGCCATGTGGCCGTGCGTGCCCATTGCCACATCCACGTTCTCCTCTTCAAAGACTGTCCCTGCGTGTACCCATTCCCACAACACCTAAGTGACGGAAGACGCGTCTAGCGTCTTAGACGGTTGCGTCTAGACGCAGCGTCTAAGACGCTAGACGCATTTCCGGCTAAGTTAGACGCATATTAGACGGAAACCCGGGCAGGCCTAAAAAAAAGGTTCGGGCAGCCTAAAAAAACTTCCGAGGGCCATGGGGAGGGTGGGGGACATGCAAATATGACCCATTTGGGTCAAATTTCTGTTGTACCAAAACTTTTCCCTCATATTTTGAGTTCACAACAATCCTCATTTCTCATCATACATAGTTAGGGGACCACTTCTCTCTAGCAGTAGCCAACACGAAGTACATAGCTACTACTACATCCCTGCAATCACTAGGCCTCCTCCAACCTCTCCTCCTACTCCTCCTCCGCCTCCTCCTCCTCCTCCGCCTCGTCCTCCTCCTCCTCCTGCCCCTCCCACTCATCCATGCACACGTCGTCCTCATCCGCCTCCACCTCCCCATCCTCCTCCAATTTGTACCCCTCCTCCAATTTGTACCCCTCGCGAAATTCAATTTCGGACTTGGGATTTTTTTTTCGGGCTGACCGAAAAAAATTTACCCAAGCGTCTAGCGTCTAAACACGCGTCTAGCGTCTAGCGTCTAGACGCTAGACGCAAGACGCGTCTTGCGTCTTGCGTCTTGCGTCACTTGTGACAACACCCTCCCTCCACACACACCTGTACACGTCAGTTGCAGCGCTGATCTCGCCGGTCATGAGTATTTCAGGGGCCATGTGGCCGTGCGTGCCCATTGCCACATCCACGTTCTCCCCCAGCGTCTCCACCATCTTCCTCTCGTGGTTGCTGTCCCCTTTATAAACACACTTAGTTGTGCATACCTGTACACATCGGTAGCAGCGCTGATTTCCCCAGTCATCAATATCTCAGGAGCCATGTGCCCGTGCGTGCCCATGGCCACATCCACGTTCTCCCCCAGCGTCTCCACCATCTCCCCCGTGGTGGGATCCTCTACTAGGATGGTTTGCTTGATCAGCTTCGCACACCCAAAGTCAGCCACCTGTACGGAAGGGTGGGATGGGAGGGAAACAGAGGGAAGAAATGGAGAGATGGGAGTCGGTGGCAACTCCCCCAGCGTCTCCACCATTTCCCCCGTGGTGGGGTCCTCAACTAGAATCGTCTGCTTGATCAGCTTCGCACACCCAAAGTCCGCCACCTGTAGGGAAGGGGATGTACGACGGAAGCCGTGAGAGAGAGAGAGAGAGAGAGAGAGAGAGAGAGAGAGAGAGAGAGAGAGAGAGAGAGAGAGAGAGAGAGAGAGAGAGAGAGAGAGAGAGAGAGAGAGATGGCAGCGCACCCCCAGATGGCAGCGGACCCATGGCCGCTGCACCTAGGGGACATCCTCCACACGCTGGAGGGTTAGAGGGGCACTAAGAGGGGGGGGGGGGAGGGTCAGAGGGATGGGTTGATGGGTCGGAAGGTATAAGGGAACCACGAGTCAAATTGCATGTCTGTACCCCCTGCTGAATTAATACAAAGGACCATTTGAGAGAGAGAGAGAGAGAGAGAGAGAGAGAGAGAGAGAGAGAGAGAGAGAGAGAGAGAGAGAGAGAGAGAGAACTGCATGTCTGTACCCCTGCTGAATTAATACAACGGACCATTTGAGAGAGTGTGAAGGACAGGGGTGGAAAAGAGAGGGTGGACAGGACAGGTGGTGGCTGAAAGGTGGGTCTCCCCCAGCGTCTCCACCATCTCCCCCGTGGTGGGGTCCTCAACTAAAATGGTCTGCTTGATCAGCTTCGCACACCCAAAGTCAGCCACCTGGAAGTGGGGGTTGGGGTGTGATTCCTTTCCAAGCCAAGAGAGGGCATGAGGCGGAAAATGAGAGAGTGCAAAAGCGTGGAGAAAAGGGAGAGGAAGGTGGTGGTTCTCCCCCAGCGTCTCCACCATCTCGCCCGTGGTGGGGTCCTCAACCAGAATCGTCTGCTTGACTTTTGAGACGTCTCAAAAGTCGTGTTGGGGTCCTCTACTAGGATGGTCTGCTTGATCAGCTTCGCACACCCGAAGTCAGCCACCTGGAAGGACAAGGTATGTGTGTGCGTAAGCTGTGAGAGTGGAGTGTTTGTGAAGGAGAGAGATGGAGAAGAGAGAGGGAAAGGTGGTGGGTCTCCCCGTGCATTGAGGTGAATTTTGAGGCGCCTCAAAATTCACCTCAAGGTATGTGTGTGCGTAAGATGTGAGAGTGTTGTGTTTGTGAAGGAGAGGGATGGAGAAGAGAGCGGGAAAAGTGGTGGGTCTTCCCCACTCCACCATCTTTCCCGTGTTGGATCCTTGCCAACCCAACAGCAAGCCATGTTGGTGTGATGTGACTTTTGAGAATTCTCGGTGTGACTTTTGAGAATTCTCGGTGTGACTTTAGAGAATTCTCGGTGTGACTTTTGAGAATTCTAGGTGTGACTTTTGAGAATTCTAGGTGTGACTTTTGAGAATTCTAGGTGTGACTTTTGAGAATTCTAGGTGTGACTTTTGAGAATTCTAGGTGTGACTTTTGAGAATTCTAGGTGTGACTTTTGAGAATTCTAGGTGTGACTTTTGAGAATTCTAGGTGTGACTTATGAGAATTCTAGGTGTGACTTTTGAGAATTCTAGGTGTGACTTTTGAGAATTCTCGGTGTGACTTTTGAGAATTCTAGGTGTGAATTTTGAGAATTCTAGGTGTGACTTTTGAGAATTCTATAAAGTCACACCAACACAGCTGGGTCTCCCCCACTCCACCATCTCGCCCGTGTTGGATCCTTGCCGACCCAACAGCAACCCTCACTCACTCCATTCCATTCCTATTGAGTCGACTCATGAGTAATACCAGCCATGCTCACCTTAGCCACGTAGCTATCAGTGATGAGTATGTTGGGTGCCTGCACGTCTCGGTGCAGCACCTGCGGTCGCTGCAAGTGCAGGTACCTCAACCCCCTTGCTGATCCAACGGCAAGCCATACCTTGGGAACATCTCATCTCAGATATCAGCCATGCTCACCTTGACCACGTAGCTGGCAGTGATGAGAATGTTGGGTGCTTTCACGTCTCAGTGCAGCACCTGTGGTCTCTGCGAGTGCAGGTACCTCGACTCAAGCCCCTCGCTGGTCCATCTAAAACCTAAAAACCCGTCACCCACCTTAGCCACGTAGCTATCAGTGATGAGTATGTTGGGTGCCTTCACGTCTCGGTGCAGCACCTGTGGGCGCTGCGAGTGCAGGTACCTCAACCCGCGTGCTGATCCAACGGCAATCTTCAGCCGCTTCTCCCACGACAAGGGGCCGTTCTGCCTGACCTTTTTGCCTGGTGGAGAGAAAGGAAACAAAGAGAAAGTAAAAAGGGGGAGAATGGATTATAACACAGAAATGAAACCGCATTATTTTTCACATTTTCACTAGGGGTGAGCAAAAAACCGAACAGGTTGGTTTTTTTGGCTTAAAGTGTTCGCCGAACAGTGTTCGAGGTTCGCCCGAAAACGTTCGTGTTCGGGCCTCTGCTGCAATTTGCCCCGCGACGAACACGAACGTGTTCGAGGTTCGCCCGAACACGCCTTCACAGGCGAACGGCAAACACCTGTTTTTGCTCAAGGCGTTCGACGAACCGAACAGTGTTCGGTTCGGCAAACGGCTGTGTTTGTGTAGGGGCGAACACGAACGTGTTCGTGTTCGCCCCTTGCTCACCCCTAATTGTCACAGCCGGTCTACCTTCAGCCGCTCTCGCACGACAAGCGTCCGTTCTACATTTTGAGGCGCCTCAAAATGCACCTCACTACACGCGGGTCACAGCCGCCCCGCCGCTACCTTCAGCCGCTCTCCCACGACAAGCGTCCGTTCTACCTGACCTTGCGGCCTGTTGGTTGGGAGAGTTAGAGCGGAAGTAAAAAACATACCCTGATTGAGAAGGGAGAGAAAGATGAAGAACAAAAGAGAATTGGGGAGGAGTGAATGTATGATGCCCCAAAACAGAAGCCTATCTATAAGTGAACAGCAGAAGAGAGCACAAAGGCACAGCCACACAGCACAGAAGGATGGTACGACAGCAACACAGCAGTGCAGTACAGCAGTATTAGCACAGCAGCATTTGAGTCGACTCAAAAGCAGACTCATTACACGCGGTTTCTACATTGAAAAGTTATTTGTTGCATGACAGGTTGGGAAGAGTGTACAGAGAACACTTGTTCGAGCGAGGCTTCCAAGGACTCGCCCCCGAATTTCTCCCGCAGCAACACAGCAGTACAGTACAGCAGTATTAGCACAGCAGCATACCAAGCAGAGCAGACAAGACAAGACATATTACCATACAATAAGACGGCGAGTGCTCCCTTTGGCCAGAAACCCGTACACCGGAGCGCAGCAAATCATCACGAAACAAAGCAAGCAGGCTGTGAAACACCATACCGTGCAAGTGGTTGGCGAGACTCCTAAGGAACTCGTACATTAGCAACCAAGCAAGATAGCAGCACGTCAACACAGAAGCAGAGCGGCATGGGAGCAGAACAAGCAGCCCAGCAGCACAGCAAGCACACCACACCCCGTGCAAGTGGTCGGCGAGACTCCTTTTGGGCAGGAACTCGTACACTAGCTAGCAGCCGTTGATTGCGCCGGTCTTCATGTCTAGCATGGATTCACACAGCAGCACCATATTACCAGCCAGCTTGCTAGCAAAGCAACAAGTCCAGAAGAGACAACACACTGTACCGTGCAAGTGGTCGGCGAGGCTCCCATTGGGCAGGAACTCGTAGACTAGCAGCCGTTGATCCTTCCGCATGCAGTACCCCATCAGCTTCACCTGCAGGGAGGGGAATGGAAAGCGACAAAGGGAAGAGACAAGGTGGAAATTGGAATCTGTTAACATTGTCAAGCCAGCTGCACTGCACGGCTACGGTGCACTAACAGCTGTTCATTCTTCTGCATGCAGTAACCCATCAGCTTCACCTGCATGAAGGGGAAGGGCGAGGAAGGGGAAAAATAAAAGGTGTTACAGAAAGCTGTACTTTGAGTGGACTCAGAATGCAACTGCTGCTGCACCCCACTGCGAGCAGTAACCCATCAGCTTCACCTGCAAGGGGGAGGAAGGGGAAGGCAAAAGGCACAGGGTATCGACGCCCTCTAGTCTAGCCCTGTAACAAACTCCTCATCGCCCTGCTCCGCCTCATCCTGCCTGCTCCCCTCCACGCTATCCAGCTACCCCTATCGCACCTTCTCCCCACCACCAAACATTGGAGCGACTTTTGAGAATTCTCAAAATTCGCTCCAACAATACTCCGCCTCATCCTGCTCCCCTCCACGCTATCCAGCTACCCCTATCGTACCTTCTCCCCAACATGTATAAAGATTTGTTTTGAGACGTCTCAAAACAAATCTTCATACATGTCCCTCCACGATATCCAGCTACCCCTATCGCACCTTCTCCCCGACACCAACCCTCACCTTAATTCTCCCTCCCTCTATCCCTGCTTACCATGTGTTTGTGCTCCAGGCGACTCAGCAGCTCCAGTTCTGTAACAAACTCCTCGTCTCCCTGCTCCCCTCCTCCTGCTCCCCCCATCCTGCTCCCCTCCTCCTGCTCCCCCCCATCCTGCTACCAACTCTGGTCTGGAATCTTCCTCCCTTTCAACTCACCAGGTGTTTGTGCTCCAGGCGACTCAGCAGCTCCAGCTCTGTCACAAACTCCTCGTCGCCCTGCTCCCCATTACCCTGCTGCTCCTCTCCCTTCTATCCTGCTAACACCCACTCCTTCTCCCTCTCCCTTCCCACTCACCAGGTGTTTGTGCTCTAGCCGACTCAGCAGCTCTAGCTCTGTCACAACTCCTCGTCGCCCTGCTCCCCTCCCTCATTTTACTCTCAAACCCCTTTCTATTCCGCATACACCAATCCTTCCAGCACCAGCCTCTCCCATTCACCAGGTGTTTGTGCTCTAGCCGACTCAGCAGCTCCAGTTCAGTCACAAACTCTTCGTCTCCCTGCTCCCCTCCCTCATCTGTGCACCAACCCCTCCCTATCTATTCCGCATACACCAACCCTTCCAGCACCAGCGTCTCCCACTCACCAGGTGTTTGTGCTCTAGCCGACTCAGCAGCTCCAGTTCAGTCACAAACTCTTCGTCTCCCTGCTCCCCTCCCTCATCTGTGCACCAACCCCTCCCTATCTATTCCGCATACACCAACCCTTCCAGCACCAGCGTCTCCCACTCACCAGGTGTTTGTGCTCTAGCCGACTCAGCAGCTCCAGTTCAGTCACAAACTCTTCGTCTCCCTGCTCCCCTCCCTCATCTGTGCACCAACCCCTCCCTATCTATCCTGCATACACCAATCCTTCCAGCACCAGCCTCTCCCACTCACCAGGTGTTTGTGCTCTAGCCGACTCAGCAGCTCCAGTTCAGTCACAAACTCTTCGTCTCCCTGCTCCCCTCCCTCATCTGTGCACCAACCCCTCCCTATCTATTCCGCATACACCAATCCTTCCAGCACCAGCCTCTCCCACTCACCAGGTGTTTGTGCTCTAGCCGACTCAGCAGCTCCAGTTCAGTCACAAACTCTTCGTCTCCCTGCTCCCCTCCCTCATCTGTGCACCAACCCCTCCCTATCTATCCTGCATACACCAATCCTTCCAGCACCAGCCTCTCCCACTCACCAGGTGTTTGTGCTCCAGTCGACTCAGCAGCTCCAGTTCAGTCACAAACTCTTCGTCTCCCTGCTCCCCTCCCTCATCTGTGCACCAACCCCTCCCTATCTATCCTGCATACACCAATCCTTCCAGCACCAGCCTCTCCCACTCACCAGGTGTTTGTGCTCTAGCCGACTCAGCAGCTCCAGTTCAGTCACAAACTCTTCGTCTCCCTGCTCCCCTCCCTCATCTGTGCACCAACCCCTCCCTATCTATTCCGCATACACCAATCCTTCCAGCACCAGCCTCTCCCACTCACCAGGTGTTTGTGCTCTAGCCGACTCAGCAGCTCCAGTTCAGTCACAAACTCTTCGTCTCCCTGCTCCCCTCCCTCATCTGTGCACCAACCCCTCCCTATCTATCCTGCATACACCAATCCTTCCAGCACCAGCCTCTCCCACTCACCAGGTGTTTGTGCTCCAGTCGACTCAGCAGCTCCAGTTCAGTCACAAACTCTTCGTCTCCCTGCTCCCCTCCCTCATCTGTGCACCAACCCCTCCCTATCTATTCCGCATACACCAATCCTTCCAGCACCAGCCTCTCCCACTCACCAGGTGTTTGTGCTCCAGTCGACTCAGCAGCTCCAGTTCAGTCACAAACTCTTCGTCTCCCTGCTCCCCTCCTCCTTGCTTCAGCACCTTCACTGCCACCACCTGATGGATGGTGGGAGGGAGGGGGATTTCGTAGGGCGATATTGAAGATAAGGCTATTGCATGCATGATACATACAAGCAACGGTTTAGAAACAAACTCCTCATTTCCCTGCTCCCCTCCTCCTTGCTTCAGCACCTTCACTGCCACCACCTGATGGTGAGAGGGAAAGCGATTTGCGATGTAGAGGGCAAAATACATAATATAAACAAGAGGCCTACACACACACAAGGGTCTAGAAACAAACTCCTCGTCTCCCTGCTCCCCTCCTCCCTGCTTCAGCACCTTCACTGCGACCACCTGATGGATGGTGAGAGGGAAAGGGGTTTCACAGGGCAGAGTATTGAAGATAAGGCTATTGCATGCGTGATACATACAAGCAACGGTTTAGAAACAAACTCCTCATCCCCCTGCTCCCCTCCTCCCTGCTTCAGCACCTTCACTGCCACCACCTGATGGTAAGAGGAGTGGCACTTGCAGTACAAGGAATTAATATTATACAGGGTTAAGGGTTTCGGGTTTAGGATCCCTACACACATACACGAGTCTAGAGACACACCCCTCGTCTCCCTGCTCCCCTCCTCTTTGCTTCAGCACCTTCACTGCCACCACCTGATGGTGAGAGGGAAGGAGGGCGATTTGCGGTATAGAGGGCGTCAATACACGGGGTGTATTGTTCAAGGTTTAGGGTCCCTACTCATACACACACAGGTCTAGAGACAAAATCCTCGTCACCCTGCTTCCCTCCTCCTTGCTTCAGCACTGGCAGCATACCATAATACACCTTTCCGAACCCGCCCTGACCCAACATGTGGGAAACGGGGAAGGTTGCAGAGTGTCCAAACTTGCATGCACTGGCGTGCTGCCAGTGCATCTAAAACTCAGTACCCAACATGTATCTGAATTTTCACCTGAGCAGGATGCACTAGCAGCACTGGCAGCACGCCATAATACACCTTCCCGAACCCGCCCTGCCTGCCCCACAGCACCATGATACTGTATCATGAAACATCTAATCTCTCACCTGAGCAGTATAATATCCGCAAGCATTTGAATTCTCACCTTAGCGGGGTGCACGGGCAGCACGCCATAGTACATCTTGTCGAATCCGACCTACCTGCCCCATAGCAGCACATTACATTAACCTGAAGTATCTGCATTATCTCCTGAACGGTGCAGCATTTCTGACCTGAGCGGGGTGCACGGGCAGCACGCCGTAATACACCTTCCCGAATCCGCCCTGCCCCAACACGTTGGCCTCGTTAAAATTCTCGGTCGCCAGCTGGCAACGGGGGATTGGACGAGGGGTTGGAAGCGGGAGAACGGAAAGGACTGTGAGCTGCAATAGAAATAACTAACTTGTGAAAAAAAAACACCAAGATTGTGTGTGTGCATGCATGCGTGCGTGCATGTGTGCGTGCATGTGTGCGTGCATGCGTGCGTGCATGTGTGCGTGCATGCGTGTGTGCGTGCATGTGTGCGTGCATGTGTGCGTGCATGTGTGCATGCATGCGTGTGTGCGCACTGAACTACACTTCATGGCACATCCAATCCAATCCAGTTACTGATCATGCTATAAGCTCATTCGAAAAACACACCTGCAGCTCCGAGTACTGATAGTGCGTTCTCTTGGGTGCTGGCAAATCGCCAAACTCTGCTGCAATAGACGATGTTCTGAGGGGAATGAGAGGGTTGGGGCGAAGGGGGACGTTGGTTGGAGGGAAAGAGGGGGCTTGGGTTTCGAGTATGAGGGACTCTCTAGGTTGCTGGTAAATCGCCAAACTCTGCTGCTATAGACGATGTTCTGGGGAGAATGAGGGGGTTGGGGGAAAGGGGAGAGTTTGAGGGCAGGAGAGGGTTGGGGGGGAGGAGGAAGATTGGAGGGAAAAATGAAGATTGGATCTTGAGTATGGAGATTGGGTATGGACTCTCGTGGGTGCTGGTAAATTGCCAAACTCTGCTTCAATAGACGATGTTCTGACGGAGGGGAACAAAGGGGGGGGGTCGGGTGGAATTTAGGGGGAAAAAGAGCGAACCATTGTATTGAAATGGTACCAATGGTGACTCATTACCAGGGTAATAATGCATGAAATTTATTCCTATCATTTACGCGTAGTCGTTTACACGTACAGGCTCACCATAAATAAATTCCTGCACAGCACACACACACGATTGCACATGCACATGGCCCACGCCCACCCACCCACATGCATGATCAGGTGGAAGAAAGAGGCTCAGCAGTGAGAAAAGAACCAAACAAAACAGAACAATTCACATCTGCCGAGTGGGGTTGCCACTGGAAGGCCTGTCTGCTCCGCTCTTGGCTGGCTTGCCCGCTGATGATGATGCCCCACTGCTGCCGCCACTGCCCGCACTGGCAGGAGGAGCGTTGAGTGTGGATGCTGAGACGAAATCACACGCACCTGGCGAGTGAACGAATACTGAGAAGAGAGCACACACACACACGCACCTGGCGAGTGAACGAATACTGAGAAGAGAGCACACACACACACGCACCTGGCGAGTGAACGAATACTGAGAAGAGAGCACACACACACACACACCTGGCGAGTGAACGAATACTGAGAAGAGAGCACACACACACACACACCTGGCGAGTGAACGAATACTGAGAAGAGAGCACACACACACACACACGCACCTGGCGAGTGGGTTGCCACTGGACGGCCTGTCTGCTCCGCTCTTGGCTGGCTTGGGTGGCTTCTTTCCTTCCTGCGCCGGCCGTTTCCCCCCTGAGGATGCCCCCCCACTGCCGCCAATCCCAGGTGCGTTGGGGGTGAACGAATACTGAGAAGAGAGCACACACACACACGCACCTGGCGAGTGGGTTGCCACTGGACGGCCTGTCTGATCCGCTCTTGGCTGGCTTGGGTGGCTTCTTTCCTTCCTGCGCCGGCCGTTTCCCCCCTGAGGATGCCCCCCCACTGCCGCCAATCCCAGGTGCGTTGGGGGTGAACGAATACTGAGAAGAGAGCACACACACACACGCACCTGGCGAGTGGGTTGCCACTGGACGGCCTGTCTGCTCCGCTCTTGGCTGGCTTGGGTGGCTTCTTTCCTTCCTGCGCCGGCCGTTTCCCCCCTGAGGATGCCCCCCCACTGCCGCCAATCCCAGGTGCGTTGGGGGTGAACGAATACTGAGAAGAGAGCACACACACACACGCACCTGGCGAGTGGGTTGCCACTGGACGGCCTGTCTGCTCCGCTCTTGGCTGGCTTGGGTGGCTTCTTCCCCTCCTTCCTGCACCAGGGTGACTATTGAGTCTCTCGACTCACAAGTCACCAACAAGCCGCACCTGGCGAGTGGGTTGCCACTGGACGGCCTGTCTGATCCACTCTTGGCTGGCTTGGGTGGCTTCTTCCCTTCCTGCGCCGGCCTCTTGCTCCCTCCTGTTGCTCCACTTCCCGCACTCCCAGGTGCGTTGGGTGTGGATGCTGGCGAGCAAGCAGGGCAGGGCAGGGCAGGGCAGGGCAGGGCAGGGCAGGGCAGGGCAGGGCAGGGCAGGGCAGGGCAGGGCAGGGCAGGGCAGGGCAGGGCAGGGCAGGGCAGGGTAGGGAAGGGTAGGGTAGGGTTGTAAAGGCGGACATGGAGTGGAAAGAGAGGTGAGGAGAGGAGAGGTTAAACATCAAGAGAACGTGAGGCAGCTTGTTGGGAAAGAGAGCAGCAACACTCACATGACTTCTTAAGGAGAGTGGAGAGGCGAGCAAACTGCTGCCCCACCTCCCCAGCGTGGCTGCTGATCCGCTTCTTGATCACATTGTGCAGCGACAGACAGGTTGGAAGAGGAGGCAGTTTCTTGGAAGGGTGGAGTGGAGAAGAGCTTACATGACTTCTTGAGGAGAGTGGAGAGCCGGGCGAATTGCTGCCCCACCTCCCCAGCGTGGCTGCTGATCCGCTTCTTGATCACATTGTGCAGCGACAGGTTGCGATCGAACGATGCCTCCTCCACCTGTGCAACCGGCTTTGGTGACGGCAGGCTCAGATTCCGCTCCAGAGACAACATCTCCTCGCCCGCTCCCCCTAGCTCTCCCTCTCTGTCCCTTTCTCCCTCTCTCGCTCCCTCTCTTGCTCCGTCTGTCTCTCCCTCTCTCTCTCCTTCTGCTGCATGAGAGGTGCAGGGGGGAGGGGCGTTTACTGTGTCTGCAGAGAAAGCGCGGGGGAGCCGTGGCTGGGGTGGTTTTCTGGAGAGGGAGGATGCAGGTGGGAGTGGTGCTGCTGCTGGGAGTGGTGGAAGTGGGAATGATGGAGGAGGTGGTGAGACTGCTGCATAGAGGTCACCAGTGTGAGCAGCAGCACCAGCAGCACCACTGCCACTACCACCAGCACCAGCATCAACACCAACAACAGCACCAGGTGCAGAAGCAGCAGCAGGGGCCTTGCCGACACCAGCAGCAGCAGCTGTAGCAGCAGCTGTAGCAGAAGCAGCGGAGCCTGCTACAAGGGGAGCAGCAGCAGCCATCCCATCGTTTCCATACAGATCCGCCAACCCTCCTCCTTGGAATCCTCTACGCCGTCCTCCATACAAATCACCAGCACTCCCACCACCACCACCACCACCACGACCACCACCAACCCCACCATCACCCGCACCACCACCAGCACTGCCACCAGCTGTGGCAGCTATATCCTGCTCTTCATCCCCTGTGTCTCCCACACCACCGACACCTACCACTCCCACTCCTACTCCCACCCCTCCCACTTCCACCACTCCCCCGGGACTCCCCCACGAGCCTCCAGAAGGGCTTGCCTCGGGAACTGAGCTGCTCCTCCCAATCAACCTCCCACCCGCACCAGGTATACCCGCCCCTGATGCACTTGCATCAGATAACCCTACCCCAGGACCCCCCGCACCAGTTGTGCCTCCCTGTCTCCCACCCTCCACCAACCCGCCTAGCCCCTCCTCGTCTGCATCCAGCCCGAATTGCTCTGCCAGCTGTGCAAACTCCCTTTGCTCCCAACTTCCATGCCTTAGAATCGACGCGGCAGATGTCCCTCGGGGTCTTGATGGGACCGATCCTGATGAGATCAACGGTCCAGATCGTGCAGAGGGAACGCTAGACGAGGTTGAGGAATCTCCTGGTGTTGCTCCTGAAAGAGGGCTCTTCCAATTTCCGGTCGGAGGTTTCTTTTTCGCCTGCCCGCTGCCCTGCAGAACATCTAGAGCCGAAGGGGGAACCGACATCAAAAAGTCCTCCGCGTCCGAACCACGCTCCGAACCAGACCCCTCTAAGGCGTCTCCCAAGCCTCCCGTTCCCGAACCTGCCCCAGAGACTAACCCGCCTAGGCCTGTTCCGAACCCTATGCTGCTGCCGAACCTGGCGTGACCTGCCCGCTGGGTTCGGTTGTGGTACGACGACGAAGCTGGCCTGCTTCGGACTCCACTGCTGCTGGCAAGCCTGCGAGAGGAAGATCTAGGTCTAGAACCCCCCATAAACCCTAACCCTAATCCTGACCCAGCACCTGCTGCTGCAGCAGATTCCGTCACTCCCTCTGCCTCATCTTCCCCCACTGCAGATCCTCCCATCCATTCCTCTCCCTTCCCACCTGCTCCTTCTCCCGCCCCTTGCAACCTCTGCTTTTCCTGAAGCTCCAGTAGCAGTGTCTGCAGCTCTCGTCTGTCTGTCTGCCCTGCTTTGAACCTGGCAGCCCAGTCCCTTAACCGCGAATCATTCAACCCTAGCTGAAGCAGGTCCTCGACAAAATGACTGTCACTGACAATGCCGGCTCCCGAGCCTGCTGCCGAGCCTCCGGATTTCGCAGGCTTGGCCGAGGCTGAGTGTGCCTTGCGGATGGAAGAGGGTCGGGAGGAGATGTGGCTCGGCGGCAGCAGGGCGGATGGACCAATCAGCTCCTCCTGCATTGGTTCCTGCAAAAAGATTTCCTGCCCGTCCTGCCTGACCTGCCCGATCTGCCCGATCTGCCCGTCCTCCCCATCTTCAAATCCCATCATCTGGGCGGCTATTCTTGTCAGATGATCGCTGCTGATTCCCTCATCCTCTTCCTCCCCAGCACCAGACAACCCCCCACCACGTTTCTCCCCTGCGCTTCCCAGTACCTTCCCTCGCCTCCTCTCCCTGCCTCCTGCCTCCCCTGCTGTTGCACTGTGCTGGATCCGACGGGGACCACCAGAGGAATGAGAGACAGCAGAGGCGGAGGAAGAGTGAGCAGCAGCTGAGGCATCGTATCCCTGCTGCTGCTGCTGCTGCTGCTGCTGCTGCTGCTGCTGCTTCTGCCAACTTGTTGATTTTGTCCGCATTCCCATGTCTTCTTCAGAATCCCCTTCCGATTCCTCCTCCTCCTCTCTCCCAGCTGACGTGTCACATTCCCATTCGCCACCAACCCCACCCTGCCCTCCTCGCACACCTCCACCCCTGCTCCTCCCTGGTCGCACCGACGAATCACACGTCGCCATGCGCAAATACTGTTCATCCCCCCCTTCATTATAATCACCCCCTCCTCCCATCACATTCGCCTCTTTCCCAACCCCCGACCTAACCCCATCTCTCGCCCTCCCCCTCACCCCCTCCCTCTCCGCCTCTCGTCGCGCCTCTGCTCCTTTCTCCCTCCGCCTCATCCTTTCCACCCCAAGCGACCCCGTAGGCGGTCTATCCAGCAGCTCATGCGCTCGATCTACATTATTCCAGGGTAAACCACCCGATTGCGCCCTCTCAGTCGCGGTTTCCGTCACAGATCTGTCGAAATCTCCAAGGTAAATCCCCCTTTCGAGGTCGCGCTGTCTCACCCGCTCCGCCTCCTTCCCTCTCTCTCGCTCCGTCGCCATTTTTCTATACACCCTCCCTTGAACCATATCCGCACCTATCCGTGCATGACCCATGTCTGCTTCCGCCATACCGCTTCTAGCCCTACCCAACTCCTTGACCCTCCCCGTGTGGTTCTTAACTTCCCCCATCACCATACCCGCCGCCAAGCTCCCCCCTGCGCGCTCCCCGTTTCCGCGCGCCATATTCCCCTCCCCCACGGCCGGGGAGATGCTGCGGGACCGCCGAGGCGGAGCAGCATTCCCTCCTCGTTCTACTCCTATAGGTGGCGCATGATCGTAATACCGCTCCTCTCCGGCGTGATTCGTTGCCGCATTTGCGAATTGCGGGGCCCCGTAAAGGTCGTGTATTGCCTCCGGGGATTGCGCGGATCGTTCCGCCGATCGGTGGGGTCCGCTGCTCTTCCGCATTCTCTCAGCATTCCCTCTTGAGGCGCCTCAGAAGCACTCTTCGCCTCCTTCTAACTTTTCTTCCGCTCGACTAGTGAATCTTAATCTCCAAAAACAATGGCGAGAAATTCTCAGAAGCGAATCGCAACGCCGAATGCCTTCCCCTCCTCCTTTCCGCTTATCTACCGAAGCCCTCAGAACCGAAATGAACCGTAATGAAACGCCTATGCTAGTCGTCCGCAGATTACCCTTACTGTGTGTATAAACCTTTCTGAAATGCCAATTCAATAAGGTCTAGACAATTTCCGGAGGACTGTGGCTCGCTGCGTAGTAAAATTGTGGTGCTTGACCTTTTGCCTCTCGCGCCATAGAGTGCGAGCTACGAACGCTCAATGCAAACGCGCGAGCATGTGCTCGCAGGAGATTACCAGTTGTACTCGTAAGAAAAGTACGGCAGATGAGCAGAAATGGGAAAATAAACCATAGATGGGAGGAGCAACAGAAGTAGAGCAGAATGATGATGGGCTTGGCTTGGCTTGGCTTGGTCATTTCAATCAGCAGACCGATGTTCAATCGCCGACAGAATCACATTAGTCAAGGGGTTGGTCACGGCTCTGTAGGGTGAAAATTAAACTGGCTTGGGTGCATTACGGTGGCGAGTTGTTGATAATGGGCCGTAAAACCTCGAGATGCCAACTTGGCACTGCACCCCAATCATGATAGGCCTGGACTGGAAAAACCAGTTTTCAAGACCCGCTCATAGACAAAGAGGAGTTCCCAAGAACAAAGTATTGCAGAAGGTCCTGTCTCGGGTGTTCGCTTTCAACTCACTCTAGGGCGCATTCGAAGATCCGCTAGGTAGTTTCAAGCCAGTCAGATGTCAGAGATGTGTACGACCAGAAGTCGCCTCGGAAGGCTCAAGGCTGACCCTAAGAAGATTTGATCAGAGGTTTGGCCCGAGCCTCGAATACGCCCTGCACTAATACACTAGTGTTCCAATTTCAATGAGCGAATAACGTAAACTCGGTCAAAATCGGTCCAGTACGGTGCTACTATGATCCATCCCCATTTCGTTGATTCTATTCCAGCGCAACACTAGCTTTACCAGACATTTCTGTCTGTCCCTACGACTTACTTGCTCTCCTAACATTTCACCCTTACCGCGTCCGTCCGTAACAAGCCTGATTTCCATTGCGAGTTATTTCACGACGTTACGTTAGTGTCCTCTTTCGCAACCTAGGGTCACGTTGCACACGGGTCTCTTTGTCGCTTACATTAAAAGCGCAAGTGTAGATTCACGCTTTTTACCTTTCCGCCTAGAGCTTAGTCTCGATGCTCTGGAGGCAGGCCTAACAGCAACTTTTTGTTAAGCTTACATATTACATGCGAAAGTTATTGTAGAAGCTACCATGCCTAAGAACAAAAACAAGCAGAAGAAGAGAAAAGCCACCTTAGCGAGCCAAGGCACATCGACGGTCAGGCAACAAGACTCCGCAACAGGGACGAAATCTGGGCCGTTGGTACCGCATCCTCCCGCTAAGAGGGCCAAGGGCGAGGCCACAGGGTTTAGCCGCGGAGAGGGTTTCGGGTCCAAACGGAAGCGTGGTTTATCTGGTGAAGGTACATTACAATCAGGGCAAGCCGGAAAAGGCATACCGGGGGAAGGTACGCTACAATTAGGTCAAGCTGGTCGATCGGGTCAATCAGGTATACCTGGGGAAGGTACATCTGGTCAGGGAGACCCGATTGGCCAGAGTCTACGAGAGGTGGTTACAGGAGGAGGTGCAGAAGTTGCGGAAAACGACAGAAAGAAGGGGCGGCGTAGGAAAGGGAAAGCAGGTGCTGCGGGGAAGGGTGCTGACGCAAATGCAGCAAGAAGTGGGGGTGTTCTTTCGCATGCTGCCAAAAGCGCAAGTGGGGGTGCTAGTTCGAAAGCGGGAGGATTAGGAGGAGTGGGAGGAGGAGCCAGCAGCAGCAAATCAAGAGTAGGAGGGAGGTTGGGAGGAGGAGGAGGGGGCAGCAGCGGCAAGAAACTAAGCCTGCTAGACAAGGTGACTGTCGACAATGGTGTCTCGGAATGTTCGATTTCGCCCAGTTTATTGATTGGGTTCAGGGCTTGGGGTTTGGAGTCTGAAAGTTTGGGGTAAGGGTTTTGGGTTGAGAGGTTTTTAGTGTTGGGGATGGAGGTTTGGGGCACGGATGAATGGGCGGTGTGTTGCTGTTGCAAGGGTGCCTTGGCAAAACGCCCCGAAACTGGATGAGCGAGTATGATATGTTGTTGCACGCAAGGTCGTTACAGATCGCTCAGCAAGACGTGCAGATGGAGGCGAGGCTATGTGCATTGAATGCTGGCCCATGGGATACTTTCCTCCCTCCCACCAGACCACATCACGGATGCGAGTTCGTCTAGCCAGAGAACGGTTTCCGCTCTCCTAACGAGATGCTCTACATTTCGGATGGAGACAAGATGACTGTGCCAAATACAGTCCTGCCTGCTTGTTTCCCCCTTCTCTCCCCTCCCCTCCCCTCCTCTCCCATCCCTTTCCATCATTTATCCTATCAGATGAAGGCTCGTCTAGCCGGGAGTCGTTTCAGATCGCTCAACGAGACTCTCTACACTTCGGATGGGGACAAGGCGTTTCAGATGTTCTCAGAGGACCCCAATGCGTTCGCACAGGTGAGAGGGATTGGGTGCGGTGAAAAGGGATTGTGAAAAGGGTCAATGACATGCACGCTCTACACAACGGATGGGGACAAAGCGTTTCAGATGTTCTCAGAGGACCCCAATGCGTTCGCACAGGTGAGAGGGATTGGGTGCGGTGAAAAGGGATTGTGAAAAGGGTCAATGACATGCACACTCTACACAACGGATGGGGACAAGGCGTTTCAGATGTTCTCAGAGGACCCCAATGCGTTCGCACAGGTGAGAGGGATTGGGTGCGGTGAAAAGGGATTGTGAAAAGGGTCAATGACATGCACGCTCTACACAACGGATGGGGACAAGGCGTTTCAGATGTTCTCAGAGGACCCCAATGCGTTCGCACAGGTGAGAGGGATATATAGTGTGGGAAGACAGTGAGATGGAGATGGATTTGGAGCGGTGAAATGGGATCTGAATAAACTAGTGGTTCGCAAGTGAACGAGATGCTCTACACGTGGGATAAGGACAAGGCGTTTCAGATGTTCTCTGAAGACCCACACGCGCTCGCACAGGTGAGAGGAATGGATGGAAAAGAGGTCGGAAGTGGTGCAGAGGTGTATGCATGACCAAGTGAGCTCCAAGAGAAAGACACGCTACACGTCAGATGGAGAAAAAGCGTTTCAGATGTTCTCTGAAGACCCACACGCGTTTGCACAGGTGAGAGGGATGGAAAGAAAGCGAAAAAGCCAGAAACTATTTTGAGAGCGGTGATGAAGGGTTTTTATCAAATGAGCGGTTTTACCAGGCAACAGAGGGTAGTTTGCCACACCTTCACTTGAGGGTGTGGCAACAGAGGGTAGTTTGCCACACCTTCACTTGAGGGTGTGGCAACAGAGGGTAGTTCGCCACACCTTTTTGGTTTCCGCCTCTCCTTTTCTGTTCCATTCCACCCCATCCCATCTCATCCATGCACCCATGAACAGTACCACAAAGACTATCAGTACAAAGTTGTCCAATTTCTGCTGCTGCATCTTTCCCTATTCCATCCCAACCCACTCCACCCCACTGCACTCCACTCCACTCCGCCCTACCCCATCCCATCCCATCCCATCCCAACACATTCCACTCCATCCCATTTCAATCCATTTCATCCCACCCCATGCATGCACACATGAACAGTACCACGAGGGATATCGGGAGCAGGTGGCGTCCTGGCCAATCAACCCCCTCCACGTCATCATTGACTGGATCCGCCAGCGCCCAGCCACCCTCACAGTTGCTGACTTTGGCTGCGGTAAGCCCTCTTCACTCTGGTTGAATCTAGTTGACCCCCGTTGACTCTGGTTGATCCTCATTGATCCACGTTTTCAACTCACATCCACGTCATCATTGACTAAATCCGCCATCGACCTCCCACCCACCCAACTTTGGCTGCGGTAAGCCCGTTGACCCTCGTTGACCCCCCTCTTGACCCTCGTTGACTTGCGTTGACCCTCGAGTTCTCTCACTCCGCATCGCATCTGTGCATGCATCTGTGAAATCCCAAAAACTCTTCAATGATGATGGCTGGCTGAAGAAGTTTTGAGACGTCCCAAAAACTTTTCAATGATGGTGGCTGGGTGAATGAGTTTTTTCCACTTGTTCTGTTGACCCTGGTCCGTCCCCCTCCTCTGCTCTGAGTTGACTTTTGAGTCGACTCAAAAGTCGCCTCTGCTCCGAGTTTCCCTTACCATTTTCGTAGAACTGGAGTGGCTTTTCCGTTTGTGATGGTGGTTGAAGTCTAAAACTGCACACACGGTAACCACCTACATTGGAAGATGTCTGACTTGAAATGCCCTCAATGGCACAGTAACCACATTGCATGTCAATGTTCTCTCTCCCCATCCTGTGTTCTGTGCATGAATTTCCCTCCCCACATATGATATGTGACATATCCAACAGGCGAGGCGAAGCTAGCAGCCAGTGTGCCCAACAAAGTGACCTCTTCAGACCTGGTGGCTGCTGCAGCGAATGTAGACTGTGGTTCTGCAACGTTTCAAGCACCCTCTCTCCTCATTTTCAAAAGTGGCTGCTGCGCAAGTGTGGCCTTACAATGTTTCAACATCCTCTCTCCATTTTCACGACCCATGAATGCATGCACCCCCACTAACCAAACAGGCGAGGCCAAGCTAGCAGCCAGTGTGCCCAACAAAGTGACCTCTTTAGACCTGGTGGCTGCTGCTCCTGGTGTGATCGCATGCAACATGGCTCATGTGAGTATGGGAATGGCATGAGTGACTATAAGCATGTTGCGACTGTAAGCATGTGTGACTTAATTGAGGGAAACAAAATGGTCACCCTAGACCTGGTGGCTGCTGCCCCCCATGCGATCGCATGCAACAGGGCGCATGTGACTAGGGGCATGATGTGTGTGTGTGTGGCTATAAGCATGGCATGTGACTGTAACAAGGGAGCAAGCTAGCAGCCAGCGTGCCCATCAAAGTGACCTCTTTAGACCTGGTGGCTGCTGCATGTAAGTAAAGGGGGCCATGATGTGTGTGTGTGTGGCTATAAGCATGGCATGTGACTGTAACAAGGGAGCAAGCTAGCAGCCAGTGTGCCCAACAGAGTGGTCTCGTTGGACCTGGTAGCTGCTGCTCCCCATGTGATCGTGTGCAACATGGCGCATGTGAGTAGGGGCATGCGTGGTGTGCGACTGTAACCACTCGTGTGACTGTAGCAACGTGTGACTATCCCATGTCGTCCCAGTTTTACCACCTCCACCTGACAGCCCCCCATACAAGCCCCCCTGACAGCCCCCCATACAAGCCCCCCTGACAGCCCCCCATACAAGCCCCCCTGACAGCCCCCCATACAAGCCCCCCTGACAGCCCCCCCTACCAGCCTCATCAGTCCACATTGCAGTCTTCTGCCTCTCTCTCATGGGACCAGACTACCCCTCCTTCCATAAACCACGCGTGTCTATTACTCATCACCCCCATTCTGACGTGCCTCCATCCCCCACCCAGACCCCCCTACCAGCCTCCTCAGTCCACATTGCAGTCTTCTGCCTCTCTCTCATGGGACCAGACTACCCCTCCTTCCATAAACCACGCGTGTCTATTACTCATCACCCCCATTCTGACGTGCCTCCATCCCCCACCCAGACCCCCCTACCAGCCTCCTCAGTCCACATTGCAGTCTTCTGCCTCTCTCTCATGGGACCAGACTACCCCTCCTTCCATAAACCACGCGTGTCTATTCCTCATCACCCCCATTCCGACGTGCCTCCATCCCCCACTCAGACCCCCCTACCAGCCTCCTCAGTCCACATTGCAGTCTTCTGCCTCTCTCATGGGACCAGACTACCCCTCCTTCCATAAACCACGCGTGTCTATTCCTCATCACCCCCATTCCGACGTGCCTCCATCCCCCACCCAGACCCCCCTACCAGCCTCCTCAGTCCACATTGCAGTCTTCTGCCTCTCTCTGGGACCAGACTACCCCTCCTTCCATAAACCACGCGTGTCTATTCCTCATCACCCCCATTCCGACGTGCCTCCATCCCCCACCCAGACCCCCCTACCAGCCTCCTCAGTCCACATTGCAGTCTTTTGCCTCTCTCACATGGGTGCAGGCAGACTACCCCTCCTTCCCGCTTCACACACACCTTAACTGTCAATCTGTTATCTCCTCCATGCTTCCATGCCTCAGACCCCCTACCAGCCGCCTCAGTCCACATTGCAGTCTTCTGCGTCTCCCTCCTGGGCGCAGACTATCCCTCCTTCCTGTTTCGACACGTCTCAAGCCTCAATGTGTCGCTCTCCCATGTTGTTCCCTTGTCCCCTTGCCCCCCTACCAATCCCCCCAACAAGATTTCTCGGTTGATATTGCATTAATCTGCCTCTCCCTCATAGGAGCGGACTATCCCTCCGAGGTGACTTTTGAGTCGACTCAAAAGTCCATAGGAGCGGACTATCCCTCCGAGGTGACTTTTGAGTCGACTCAAAAGTCCATAGGAGCGGACTATCCCTCCGAGGTGACTTTTGAGTCGACTGAAAAGTCCATAGGAGCGGACTATCCCTCCAAGGTGACTTTTGAGTCGACTCAAAAGTCCATAGGAGCGGACTATCCCTCCAAGGTGACTTTTGAGTCGACTCAAAAGTCCATAGGAGCGGACTATCCCTCCGAGGTGACTTTTGAGTCGACTCAAAAGTCCATAGGAGCGGACTATCCCTCCGAGGTGACTTTTGAGTCGACTCAAAAGTCCATAGGAGCGGACTATCCCTCCAAGGTGACTTTTGAGTCGACTCAAAAGTCCATAGGAGCGGACTATCCCTCCAAGGTGACTTTTGAGTCGACTCAAAAGTCCATAGGAGCGGACTATCCCTCCGAGGTGACTTTTGAGTCGACTCAAAAGTCCATAGGAGCGGACTATCCCTCCGAGGTGACTTCTGAGTCGACTCAAAAGTCCATAGGAGCGGACTATCCCTCCAAGGTGACTTTTGAGTCGACTCAAAAGTCCATAGGAGCGGACTATCCCTCCAAGGTGACTTTTGAGTCGACTCAAAAGTCCATAGGAGCGGACTATCCCTCCGAGGTGACTTTTGAGTCGACTCAAAAGTCCATAGGAGCGGACTATCCCTCCTTCCTGTCCTTCCTTCTGGAGAGCTGGTTTTTGAGATTTCTCAAAATCCTTCCGGGGACTTCTCATGACTCTCTCTGTGTCCGTCCCATGTCCAACCCATATCGCCCCCATGCCTCCATGCCCCAGACCCCCCTACCAGCCGCCTCAGTCAACATCGCAGTCTTCTGCCTCTCCCTCATGGGAGCAGACTACCCCTCCTTCCTCTCTTGACACGTCTCGTGACTCTCTGTGCGCCTTAACCACGTGTGCCTACTCTAAACCCCCCCATGCCTTCGTGCCCCAGACACCCCTACCACCTGCCTCAGTCAACATTGCAGTCTTCTGTCTCTCCCTCATGGGAGCAGACTACCCCTCCTTCCTGTCTGAAGCTCACCGTGTGCTGCACCCTGGGTAAAGACGTGGGACGGGTATGGTGGTATGGTGTGGCAGATTGGGGTGTGGAGAGTGGGGCAGGTGCAGGGCATGGTATGTGGGCTCTCTTGGGAGCGGACTACCCCTCCTTCCTCTCTGAAGCTCACCGTGTGTTGCAACCTGGGTGAGCCTGTTTCTGCTACGCTATAGTACCGCACAGTACGGTACAATACGGTACAGTATGGTACAGTACGGTACATTATGAGGAGCCGGTTCGACCCCACCACTGGAGATGTTTTGAGGTGCCTTATGGTGCCCTCTCTGCCTCTCTGCCTCTCTGCCTCTCCTGCCCTTGCCCCATTCTAAACACAGGGGCTCACTCATTATAGCCGAGGTGAGGAGCCGGTTTGACCCCACCACAGGAGGGGCGGAATTGAAGGACTTTGTTGCTGCACTGAAACAGCTTGGATTCCGCCTTGTCTCCAAGGTACAGTCTCCAAACCACCTGGGATACTGTTCTGGGATGGCATCATATCCTGTTGTGGGTAGTGTTGCTCTGCATTGCACTGTACCAGCCTCACCCACAGGAGGGGCGGGGCTGAATGCTTTTTTGCCACTCAAACTCCTACGGTTCCGCCTTGTCTCCAAGGTATTTGAGTAGACTGTTGGGGTGCAGTTGTGGATAGTGTTGGTCTGCATTGCACCTTACCAGGCTGTAGGGGCTGAGCTGAATGGCTTTTTGCCACAGTCAAGCACCTGGGTTTTCTGCCTCGTCTCCAAGGTACAGTCATGGGGTGGTAGTGTTGGATTGCATTTTGCTGTATGTATGCCACACCATTGGAGGGATGGAGTCGACACACTTCCTCTCTCCGCTCAACACCTAGGGTTTTCCCTCGTCTCCAAGGTAGCTCTGTTGTGGGTAGTGTTGGTTGGATCGCATAACACAGTACTCACATCACATGCTTCCCTGGATCAATCAAGCTCCGCCTTGTACCCTTTTTCATATTTTGGGCAGGATTTGAGCAACAAGATGTTTCTCCTCCTTTTCCTTGAGAAAGTGCAGGCAGAGGTGAGTGACAGGTTTGCAGCCAAAGGTAAGGAACAATTACGCAATGTAGGTACTGGTATTGATGAAAGAAGTCATCACGGTCGCCTTGTTTTTGCTTATCGCGTGCTTGCTTACACATTTACTCGTTAATTAACCCAAGCGCATGTTAATTGACATGTTCCCCCATTCGCACGCACCTCTTAACTTTCTCGTTGTGGTTTTGTGAATACATGAGATGTTAACTGTGTACTCCTCTCATTTCCATTTGTACTCTTGTGCTTTGAATTGATGAATGGATGTGTTTGGACTTGGTGGGAGACGGGTGACTGTATAAAATGCTGGTGTTCTTACAGCTGACGAAAGGCCAGGTGAAGAATAAAATTTCAGTGTCTGCTGACGTTAAATGGCCTGCCTTGAAACCCTGCCTTAATAAGAGACGGTGATATGTTTTTGTTGTTGTAACTGAAGGATCGTAGTGGATAGGATAAGTCTGTCAAGTTTGAAAGAAGACAATGAAGTCTCTGTAATGAACTTGTTAAAACCAAAATGCAAAATAGTGAACCCAACGCCAACTTGAAAGAGGGCTTGCCGTGCGAAACAATTTTGGAACCAAACCGACAAGTTTCCGTTTTTTGCAGATCGAACACATCTGATTGGTTCCCGCCAAAACCAAAAGAAGGAACACAGCACGTCAGGCGTCGCATATCAGTTTTGGAAGCTGCACAACACTAGCATTGCGATCGCTCATGCCCGTCCTTGCGATTTTGGGCCCAGCTTGGGGTTCAAGTTGGGTCTGGGTGAACAACTACTAGTTCTTCCGATCATACATCTCTGCTTCTTAATTATGTGTAGCATGTCTAGCCATCGAACCGTCAACTTAGGCCGTTGTTGTTTCAATTTAGACGCGTAGTGACGCTGGCATGGTTGTGTAGTACTTTGTGACGTTTCGAATGCCCTCTCGCCGCCTTCCTATCTCATCTCGCTCGCCCTCCCGTTCCGATCGACCGTCCTGACGCCGTCCCATTGACCATCCTGACGCCGTCCCATCGACCGTCGCGTCGCGATCATGTCGTCCGTCCCGTCGACGTCCCGTCGCCCTCCTACCGTCATCTCCATTACCCCTCTCTTCCAATCACCCTCGCGATTTTCCCATCGCAAATCTCTCTCTCGCCGCTCCCTTTCCTGAACCAATCGCCTTCTCCTCTCCCTTCTCGTCGCTCTCTCTCTCGCCGCCCCCTTTCCGTTGCAATCGCCTTCTCCTATCCCTTCCCGTCGCTCTATCTCTCTCCCCTCCCTTCCCGTCGCTCTATCTCTCTCCCCTCCCTTCCCGTCGCTCTATCTCTCTCCCCTCCCTTTCCGTCGCTCTATCTCTCTCCCCTCCCTTTCCGTCGCTCTATCTCTCTCCCCTCCCTTTCCGTCGCTCTATCTCTCTCCCCTCCCATCCCGTCGCTCTATCTCTCTCCCCTCCCTTCCCGTCGCTCTATCTCTCTCCCCTCCCTTCCCGTCGCTCTATCTCTCTCCCCTCCCTTTCCGTCGCTCTATCTCTCTCCCCTCCCATCCCGTCGCTCTATCTCTCTCCCCTCCCTTCCCGTCGCTCTATCTCTCTCCCCTCCCTTGCCGTCGCTCTTGCTCTCTCCCCTCCCTTCTCGTAGCCTTCGATGCAGCCGTCGCAAATTCCCCTCCCACCCACCATCACCCACCCCATCGCCTTCCCGCTCGCCACGAAACGCCTTCTCGTCCCCCGCCCACTTTCTCCTCCCATCGCCTGCCTGGTCGCCTTCGCGCTCGCACTCAAACGCTCTCCCCGCGCCCTTCCTCTCTCCCTTCCCATCACCGACCTCGTCGCCCTCGTGCTCGTCCCGAAATGCCTTCCCATCGCCTTTCGTCTCTTCTCCCCAATCATTAATCTCTGAAACACTCTCCATCATCGGCCAATCCGCCCTTCGCTCTTGCTATGCAATGCCCTCTCCGCGCCCTTCCTCCCTCCCCTCACAATCTGTCTTTCCTCCCCGCATCCCGTCGTTCCTCTCTACCCTCCCATCCCGTCGTTCCTCCGCTCTACCCTCCCATCCCGTCTTTCTTCCTCTCTCCCCTCCCATCCCGTCGTTCCTCCTCTCTTCCTTCCTATCCCGTCGTTTTTCCCTTCTCCCCTCCCATCCCGTCGTTCCCCCTCTCTCCCCTCCTCTCCCGTCAGCCCCCTTGTCCCCAGTCCCTTCTCTTCGCCGTCGACCAATCAACCGTCCCGTCGCCCTTTCTCTTTTCGTACATCATTAATTTCTTTATTTATATCTTCTTCGCCTGATTTCACCTGTGTGTGCCATGGATTTTGCTTGATCATGCCAGTGTTCGCGCAGGATTTTGTGAGTTTTTGCCTGTGCGCGCTGGATTTTGCCTGTGTGTGCGCTGTTTTTTGCATATGGGAATTCTTGTGAAGTTACGACGGCTGCTATGTTGAATGTGGGGTTGCAGCCTTGCGCCAAATTCGCATACGAATGTGGGTGAAAGTCGCCACCAATAAGATTTGTAAACAAGTTCCTCATGTTTCCCGTTCAGATCAAGACTCGTCTGGGATGAAAAAAAAGTAAACACGCACAGGCCGTCAACTTTTCAAACGTTCGTAACGAGCTTGTGTTTTCAAGTGGACCCAACTAGAAGGGGGGGGTCATTATTTTAGCTGCTGGCTTTAATAAAGTTGAAAGAGAACAAGATGATTATATGATAGGAGTACAAGGATATAAATAGCAATCCTAGCTAGCCATGTACTCTGAGGGGTACATGCCCTTATTAACTCAATTACATTGCTACAGTAATCACGACTGATTCTATTCGTGACAGTTACCATGTTGCATCGCGTAACTACCAAGTGCGGTTACTGGGCAGTCAAGGGTCACGACCGTTGACTGTCTTCGACTGTTGACCTGCGGGTGACCCTCGACCTTCCGCATGCTCTATAAAAACTATTGCGATACTGATACAGGCGCGTTGCTTCGTTATGGAGTGAAGAGCGAGTGGAGAGCCTTCGGGAATGTTACGATAACTTTTCGGTTATTCCAACACTCCCCTTTATTCCTGAAGGTGAGCCGCGTGGGATTTCTTCGAGATCCCGCAGAGGTCGGTGCAGTGCTGAAACTTCTGACGTGGCAGCGTTTTGGTCAGGAAGTCTGTTGCCATGTCACCAGTTGGGCAGCATGTGAGTTTGACCTTCCCTTTGTCGGTTCCGTCTTTGACGAAGAACTAACGGAGTGTGATGCGTTTCGTGCGGTTCACGAAGCCGGGCTTGTTCGCGATCTTGATCGCGCTCTGGTTGTCGCAGCGTAACGTGAAGTGCCCGTTCATCGTTACTTTCGCTTCCTGCATGAGCTCCATCAGGTACAGTCCTTCGCAAACAGCTGCGCTTGCGGCGATGAACTCAGCTTCGGCTGACGAAAGGGCGATGAGTTCCTGCTTCGGAGAGTTCCAGGAGATGAACCCAACAGGTTGGGCGTTTGTTGTCAATGTCTCCTTCGTGGTCTGCGTCTACGTAGCCATGGAGCTGCAGGGTAGCAGTTAAGTTAGCTTTGTAGGTGAGGCCGACGTCGGGAGTAGAGACGAAGTATTGAAGTGCTCGGCGTAGATCCAGTAGATTCTCCCCTCAGGTCGCTTCAGTTACTATGCAAGCTGGCTTGCGACGTAGGAGAGATCGGGCCGGCACGTGACGACGGCGAACAAGAGACACCCTAGCTGCTGCTGATAGAGCCGATGATCGTCAATGGAGAGCGGTGTAGTATCTGGTTCGTGGTTAGGAGGAGGAGTGCGGTAGGGGGTGGTGAGATTGATCAGCATGACAGCGAATTTCTTCGCGAGTGTTTCCGCATACTTGGCGGCGGAAAGGTGAATGGAGGTGGCGGACTGAGTGATGTTGAGGCCCAAGAATTGTGTGACGGTGTGGTTGATTGTCACCTCGAGCTTCTCTTTGATATCTGCCTCAAACTGGTCAGCAGCTCCGTGTCGTCGCCGGTGTAGAGTAGATGGTCGACGTAGGCGACGAGAAGGATGAACTTGCCGCGTCGATTTGACGGGATGGCCGATGTTTGACGGCTGCGATGCAGATGAGGATGCGTACTGAAGTGTGTCGTCCGACAGGCGCGTAGGTGAGGTCGAAGTCTACCATGTGAGTTTGCTCGAATCCGCGCACCACCCATCTCGCCTTGTATTTGTCAATGGAGCCATCCGCGAGTGTTTTAATGCGAAAAACCCACTTTCCACTGAGAATTTCCTCCCCTTTGCTAATAATCGTGGAACCAGTTTCCACGTTCCGCGTCTCTTCAGTGCTGCGACTTCTGCGGCCATGGTTGCCTTCCATTTCTGACTGTCGAGGCCAGACAAGGCCTGGCGAATGGTGGTGGGTTCCTTGGGGGAGGTGTGGCGAACAGCTACGGCGAGCCCAAGGATGCAAAGACCAGTTTCGTTGTTCTTTTCGTAGTGAAGGCGTTCGTAGTCGTGGAGGCTGGTTACTTCGACGACATCGTCGTCACTGTCGTTGCCGAGGCGAAGGGTGTCTTGCGAGGTGTTCGGTGGTGGTAACTCGGCATCCAGAGATCGGCGCGCTTCACTATTGTAATTGTGGGCTTCGTGAAGTGTCCTCCGCCAGGTGTGCTTCATCGTGTGACGTGGCGAAGCTGTGATGCCCCTCGAAAACCTTTTCCGGTGCTTTATCAGCTTCGCGGTGCTCCTTGAACAGTGGCAGAGTCAGCTTTTCGTAGAAGATGCAGTTGTCAGAATCCCAACCACTAGACCATTGGGATAAAAGGGCTTGTTAAGTAGCGGGTCAGTGCGCCATAACCTCCCAGGCCAGCGAGCCTGTAACCCTTGTTAAAGAACGAGGAATGATTGACTAAGGAATGAGTGTGATACAAATGTGAAACCCTAGAATTGTGTATCCCTTAATATCTAACCCGCTACAGCCTACACAGGCTAGATCATATAAGTCTGACACACCCCCATAGGCAAAGTGGGGGAGAACAAGGGGTCACAAGACCGGT